CGTAAATTGCGCTCCCTTGCCTTCTAACGGTTTGGGATTGTTCTCTTTCCAAAAATCTTCGGGTCAAATTCCTTGTTATCAGAAAACACTGGTGGCCTTCTGACGACTCAGGATTATGCTCCTTTCGAAAACCTCGGGTCAAATGGCCTCGCTATAAGAAAATACTGATGAAGAAAAATGGATGCAAAGAAAATGGAGAAATGGGCGCAAAGAAGGATCAAAACGAGTGAGAACCAAACTTTTCTCAGGCTGATAACGTTTTTCCTCCAACATGAGTTCAGCTCCAGTTGAGATACTACAGTGAATAATTAGGTTTTTTTGAAGGGTGGAGCACTTCACCTCGCCTCCACAAATATGGAACACCCGAAACAAGGAATTCGTTATGAACGACCAATTCCTGCTCCCAAACTCCGAAAGCATGAGCACCATATTATCTCCCATGCGGATTCCCACTTGAGAGAGCTAATATGAGGGAGATGAAACCGAACTAACAATAAGCGAGTTTTGTGGATCCATCGGCTGGTCATTCGAGGTTTCAGCAGATAGGATGAAGGAAGGAGTCTAGTACTGCGGGAAGGCGTGCAAGGTTATGAGGCATAGCGACGGCCGTAGCGTAGGTCGCTTTGGCTGCCACTTGAAGTGCATTTGACCCATCAAACTATTTGACAGTCACGATAACAAAGTTTCTTTTCTTTTGCCAAGAAAACTTTGGAGGACAAATGCTTCTGAATGCACTTTTTTTTCCCCTTCCACTTTGAGCCCGAGAATCCCGTTTATCAATGTTTGTCTCCAAGTGCAAGAGCTCTAGCGGGCAAGACTACGTGACGCGCCCCAAGGTAGCGACTGAGGTATGAATCGCTGTCCACCTGTTCTTGCTCAAAGATGCAGGAGGATGCAAGGGCTGGACTTCCTTTTGTTCCTGCCCTTAGTCGATTCATTCCTTCTGTCACTTTGCTTCGTATCCATGCATGCATCTGTGACGGGTCTGCGGGAAGGATTGGTACTCTACAAGTCGGCTAGCCAAAACTTGTATTCGACTATCTGGGAAATGCGGGGCAGTACGAGCTTGTCACCCGTACACTCTACGATAGCCAGGCAAGCTACTCGTGGATTCCTGCATGCCAAAAAAAAACTTTAAAAATGGTAATTCTCCAGCTAGATGAAGCTCCAATACGGCAGCTTTGGGTTGGACTGCTCGGGAGAGGCTGCCAAATCTCAGGGTCACAACAGGCTGGCTCAAAATAAAAGGACAAATGCATGAACTTTTCTATCGGAGGCGCAAGCTTTGAATCTGATCATGCAAGCTAGGAAGAGCTACGAGAATTGAGAACGGCGTCATTGAGCTGAACGAAGTTAGGAGGAATCACCCGCCACACGTCGTTTTTGAGGCTAGAGGAGGTCTGTTTGACGGAATGTGGCACGGGAAAGGTGTCGGGTGTGTTGGTGCCCTTCAACAGTGATCAACACTCACTTGGTGAACACGACATGCGACAATCCGAACTGAACATTTGCAACTATGAGACTATTTGACCTTGCATCTGGCAATCCTCGCCACCAATGTCCCAACATGAAGCTATAGGGGAGAAAAGCTGCAAGCGTTTAATGTGGACCAGGAAAAGCCCTAGAGAAATCATCATACATTTTTTGTGGACTCAGGAACAACTTTATGTAGTGACGCAAAAGTAACGCAATGACACAATGACAGTTAATAATTTCAGGCCCTATAAGAGGAGTGTGACAGGAATCACAGAGCAGAATGGAATAAATAGAGCACAAGGTTCCAAGAGATTACTATGTTGACCAACAACCCTAAATGAAACTCCTGAGTAGTCCTTAGTCAGTTAGTACTCAGGAAAGTTCTGGTTTAACGAGGTAAAAAGGTATGTCTCATGATCTCAAATAGAAGATTCTGATTGATTGAGACTGAGTCTATGCGGGATTGTACTGTCGCCGCTTGAGAGCTGAAATCCGTTGATTGAAAAAGCGGTCAATGCATCATTTAGAGCAATAACGAACCACATACGCTTCGCAGACAACATCGTGCTTGTGCACATAATATCGAGCAATCGGAAGTGATGTTAACTGGATTCATTAGTGGTTGTGCAAAAATCGACCGCATAAGTGACTTTAACGAGTACAATTTTCGTAAGGAATAGCCTGGTTCCTGATGGCCCTTTGATGCTCAAGAGAACGAACAGAGGGGCTCCAGCTACGCGCACTTTGGTCAATAATTCAGCACAATGCATAACCTAATCCTACTTTATATAATTCGCTAAGTGTGTCTGTTGGTGTGTCGGTGTGTTTGTGTGTGTGTTTGTTTGTGTGTGTGTCGGTGTGTATGTCTGACCGGAAATCATAACTCCTGTCCCCGTAGACCTAGAGCGTTCAAATTTGGTAGGAGTAAGGGCTGCAGGATGGGAACACCTATGGTTGCTGGCAGGACCGGACCCCGTTCACAGGGAGCGCGGCGTGCGCGTTAGAAGTTCTGAGCCTCAAATTCATAACTCCTGTTCCCGTGGACCTAGAAAGCTCATATTTGACAGAAGTACAGGGGGCAGCATGGGAACACTTATGGTGGGTGGCAGGACCGGATTCCATGCACACGAAGCGGGCGTGCGCGATAGAAAATTTGGGTCGCAAACTTATAACTTCTGTTTACGTGGACCTAGAGCGTTCAAATTTGGTAGGAATACGATGGGCAGGATGAAAACATTCATGGTGGGAGGCGACACCGGATTCCGTGCACAGGGGG